AGCAATTGCCCGGATTTGTGGGTCTGCGAGTTGCCTATATTGCAGCTCTTTTTCTAGAGGCATGCTTTCTATTGACGACACAATTCTACTAAGTGCGTCAACGTGTGCCATCCTTTTGCCATCTCTATGCACCAACTTGAATCGATAATTCTGTAGTCTCAAGGTCCAGCGCGCGATACGAGTATTCAAATGGGCTTTATTAACAGCGTATACCAGCGCATTGCAGTCGGTAACAACCGTAAAAGACAAACCGTATAGATAAATATGGAACCGTTCGATAGCCTTAACAACCGCTAACATTTCCAGTTCAAATGAATGGTATTTACTCTCGGCCCCATTCGTTACTTGGCTATAATAGGCGACCGGAGCCCATGAACCGGAAGATTGTTTTTGAAGTAATATAGCGGCAAGTGCTATTGAACTTGCATCCGTATGCAATTCAGTTTCGCTTGACGGGTTGTATAAACGCAGGACTGGATAAGACACTAATTCCGATTTCAATAAGTCGAAAGATTTCTTACATTCTTCGTCAAAAACAAAGTCAGAAGTTTTCTTCAAGAGATTGTGCAATGGCTTGGCCTTACTGGCATATCCTGGGATAAATTTCCGAAAATAATTTGTCAGACCCAAAAATCTTTGCAACTCTAGCACTTTCTTCGGAACTGGAAAACATTTGATGGCTTCTACGTGCCTGTCACTTAACGTAATACCCGTAGGGGAGATAATATAACCGAGATATTCGATGACGTTCTTTAAGAACCGACATTTTTCATAATTAAGTGTGAAATCATATTTTTTAAGCAATAATAATGTTTGTTTTAACACAGATAAATTCTCCTCTACTGTGATTGATGGGATGAGGATATCATCCATGTACACCAAAACTTTATCTTCTCTTATGAGGGGTTGTAAGATATAGTTAACCCTTCGTTGAAATTCGGCCGGAGCCTCACAAAATCCAAATGGAAGTCTCTTAAATTCGAACTGCCCGTCCGGCGTGGCAAAAGAAAAGAATTTAGTGTGATCCGGGTGAATTTTAATTAAATGGAAGCCCTCCTTTAAATCTAAGAGTGTAAACACTTGCTTATTACCTAGTTTCGCTAGACAGTCTTCTATAAGCGGGAAGGGGTATTTCTGCTTAATGACCCGGTCATTAAGGGGTCTTAAATCTACGCAAAGACGCGTTGAACCGTTTTTCTTTTTAACGGGGACCACCCGAGCACAGTACGGCGACGAACTCGTCTTAATAATGCCTTTTCTCTCTAACTCATCGGTAATTTCTCGAATTTGTATTCGTTCGGCATGCGCAAAGCGACGCGGTGCGTATGCATATATTGAGTCGTCTTTTAAAACGACCTTAACGCTATAATCGTCTTTAACTAGTGCTACCGGCGTATCAATTACATTTTTTATCAGTTCAACTACCTCATTGTCCGCTTCTTTCCCAAAGTCGGTTTTAATATTTGACCAAACAGGTTTATCAGTAACCGGCATATCGATAAGGTCGACTACATCTGCGGAAGCTACCTTATTTAAGAGCTCTAATTTATTTGAGCTACAAGCAGCATTAGGATCGTAAGATATTTTCAATTCATTTTCTTTAATAAAATCACGTCCTAACACAATATGCGTAGTATTCGAACTATCTTCCAATAATTGAAAATCAACTTTTAACTCGACCTTCGGTAAAAGCGACAATTTAATAGTTGTGTGCCACACACCAACCACAGGAATATAAGTACCGTTCAAAGCTCTAAGAGAATTATATCCCGACTTTTCTAATTTTGAATCTGATCTGGCATATAACCTGTATGCCGCAAAACGAATGAATGAAACAGGGCTACCTGTATCAATCAGCGTACTCATATTACATATATTCCCATTGATGGTGTAGACATTTGTGATTGGCTCACTCATTTCCAACACTCGGTTTCGAGGATCCTCTACACATCCCACCAGTGATGGGTCGTCCTCTTTCTTAACGACTACTGCAACCGGTGGCGGCACGAACGTGGTTGACTGCTGGGAGGATTGCTCCTTTCTCTTCAGTTTGTAACAATCGGCCTTCAAGTGCCCTTTCGTCTTACAATAAGCACAGAAGGTCTCTCTGGAACTTTTCAACTGATGATCGTTCTTCGTAGGTGAACGAGGCGACGCTTTCGGTTTCTCCTTCCTCATTGGCTGTGGAGATTTTTTCGATGTCATCTCAAAAGCACTTGTGACCTCGTACATCTGATTCAGAAATTCATTTATAGAATTTGCTCTCAGACATGCTGCTGATGCCCTCAACGCTGAGCTGCCAATGCCGTTTATAATTAACTGGATACAACTCTTCTCAGGTAACTGCAGGCGATGCAGCAATTTCATTTTCTGCATGGCGTAATCACGAAACGATTCTTTATGGTAATTCCACTTACGGGCATCCACTCTCTGCATGGCTATGTGGAACGGGATTTGTAGCCCAAACCTTTCCGAGATAGACTGCTTAAACACTGGCCAAGAGTTATTAATTGACTCTATATTCATGTCATACCAGTCCCTGGCCAAACTATTTAATTTACTAGATGCTGCTAGTAAAGTCACCGTCTCACTCACTCCGTGAGCAAGAGCCACATGGTCCACCTTACGGATCCATAAATCAACATCTTCTTCCTCTGATCCACCGTATGCCGGAATCTGTGGAGTTAAAAGCTTAACCGCTGAAGCAGTTGCTGGGAGATACATCACCGAGGTTGGCTGTGTTGTCCGTACACTGATTGGAACGGGCGGTATGTTTTGGGATGATACACCAGGTAAATCTGTCCCACCAACGTCCTGTCCACTCGTTACTTCATTGATATTTGCAGTAGACATCAAACGCTTCATCTGCTCCATCATCATTAACATTGACTGCTGCATCGTAGCCATTGACGCAGACAAATGCTGAACAGTCAGAGATTGCGCACTTTGGCTAGGCAAACCTTGTGGTTGAATGTCTTCACGTTGTAAAACTGGAGGATCATTGATACGTCTTTCCATATATGAGAATATCTGATCAATGCATTCCGATCTGGAACTCCTTGGGATTAGTCCCAAGCTAGTAATTCTTTCCTTGAGCTGATCAAGCGAAAGATCTTCAACCTCCTGCCTCTCCATTGTACTTGACGAAACTTGTATCACAAAATCTTCTTCACAGATTAACGTCTCGACTTCTGTCCGGGAGATGGTACTTCTAGAGGTGTCTCTATCTTCACTCAAAGAATGCGGGAAAAACTACCGTTATGGCGGGCGTTTTTTTTTTTTTTTTTTTTTTGCAAACGACCGTTACTGATGATGCAATACTGTTACTGCGTAACAAAGACTGGCTGAATGCTGAGAGGGTATAACAGCGAACTATCCCACTTCTGATGTATTTTACTGTAAGAGACCGGCTGTGCCAAAAGCAAGGCCTCACAGTATAAAAGAAGATAGCCAACTTATTGGTTATGAATCTCCTTTAGCAGTAACGTCCGTTACGCACAAGTGCCAGGAAGGCGAACCAAGCTGATCAGTGGGAACACCTTGGATAAATGGGCGATAGGGATAGCGCCTAGTCGAATTGCACTCAGAACTCTATTGTAAATACTTTATTACTCGCATGGAAGATACACACTAAACTCTTCGCGGTTTCTACATGTGACACACACCTCTCGCCATGTTCTCTACTCTTCTTTCTACGTCTCTCTCCCTATCCGAGAGTTCGTCTCTCACCACGTGATCTGGTGGTCATGCGCAGATCTTTAGCTATTCTCTCGACCTATCGCATAACGCGAAAAAGGTGCGCAAGCGGCGGTTCAGGCATTAGCGCCCCCTGTGGTGTAGGTTTCTTCTAATAAAATACGGGACGAATGGACACCGTTTCTTACAACTGCATGAATTGATACGCGTAAGGGCCTGAGCACAAAGATTATCGTAAACTTTTCCGACAGAGTCATAAACGTAAGTCGGTGTCGGAAGTCAGCGCACAAGGATTGACGTAAACGTATGTCGTATCCATCGCACTGCCTCTGACTCCCCTCTTTATAATCATATCGATTACTTTTATTGATATTTAAGATTCTATTTCATTTATGGTAAGTGGTATATTTACATTATATATTACCTTTTTGAAATATTTTAATGGTTTAGACATGAATTGTAAATAGATGACAAGATATTTTCGAAATAATCAATAAACATAACCAAATCTAACTTGAAATTTTCACATTTTTGTAATAAATTGTTACATACTTTTAAAAGATCAGATCTTGCTTGAAATATAATGTGTGTGTACACACACACATATATGTATATATATACATATACAGGGTGACCCATTTTAACTTAGGCAGCCAAATAACTCGAAAAATAAGCACACTACGAAAAAATGTTTAGAATCAAAATTTCGTCATTTCGAGGAGGACGTACAATGACGTTAAAATTAGCCCCCCCACCCCTCCCCCTGGGCGGTGAGGGGGGACAAGTTTGAAATCTTAAATGGGAACCCCTATTTTTTATTGCATATTCGGAATCTTTGGCTAAAAACACATACAATTTGTCTGAAACATTTTTCTCGATTCATGATAGATGGCGCTGTAATCGACGAAATTCAATTTCTTCGATTTCTCTTACTGAGAACCCATGCTTACGA